AGAAAGTGATTGTGGTGAATCTAACGTGGTCTTACATGAATCTTCATGTAGCATATCAAAAGCATTCCATGATATAAAACTGGTTTTATCTCTAACACTTTTTACTCTGTGAGATGTGTTCATGGTACTACACCTGATGGTACTTGATGGTATCTCTTCCTTCACTGTGAGTCTTATGACTGCATTACCCAATAAATGAATAAATATGCCTCTTATTGCCAGAAAAACTGGAGGTATGATTCAACATTTTAGGATATTAATGCGAGGGAAACTCAAGTATAATATATTGGTACAATGATTTCTGTGTCTCTACCTGGTGAACCATAAATAAGCCACTACTCTGCAGGAGACATTGCTGTGTGCTCCACTGTATCACTGAGAGTTTACACTTTGACACCGTGAAAAACCTGCACAGTTCCTGCACCTCACTGGTGAAGAGAACATGCATAAAAAATTATGGAAACTATGACATTCTGTACAGGGTAAGTACGATGGTGTACCCAAAAGAAACTGAACTAATTTTTTTGTGGGCAGAGGTTTTGTAGTACTGCGTTTTGCAGCTATGAGCGCATAGAGCTAACATTCCTTAGTCGATAAGCCGACTACCATTGCTTCAGAAGGTAAGGACTAGTTTTGGCAGAGTTTATAGTGACAACTGTTTTGTGTGATCATCGTTTTTGCAATGGCTGATTTTCGTGAACAGCGTGCAGCGGTCAAATTCTGCTATTTGCTTGGGAAAAGTGGAACAGAAACTCTTGAAATGTTAAAAACGGCATACAAGGACAATGCTATGGGGAAAACTCAAGTGTTTGAGTGGTTTTCCCGTTTCAAAAATGGTGAAATGTCAATTGATGACAAACCTCGTTCTGGTCGTCCTTCCACGACCCGAACACATGAAAATGTTGAAAAAATTCGTGAAATCATCAAGGAAGATCGACAATGGACCATTGAAGAAATTGTGGAGCTGTCGGGAGTGACTTGGAGCTCAGTTCAGCAAATTTTGACAGAATATTTGGGAATGAAAAGGGTGGCTGCGAAATTCGTGCCACGACTGCTGACTGCTGAACAAAAACAAGGTCGTGTGGAAGCATGCTGTGCTTTGAAAGAAGAGTCCCGACATTTTTTTTTGTTTCCTCGAATGAAGAGAGACATGAAAGGAAAGCATTTTGCTGATGTTGCTGAGGTGAAGGAAAAAACGACGGAGGCGCTGTCAAGCATCTCAAAAGATGAATTTAGACAATGTTTTGAAAAAGGGAATAAAAGACTAGACAAGTGTATTAGTGTAAGTGGAGAGTACTTTGAAGGGGACTGAAGGTTTCTGCTTAAAATTTGAATAAATGAGTTTAAAAAAAATAAGTTCGGTTTCTTTTGGGTACCCCCTCGTATAGCCCTAATCATAATGAAATTGTTAAAAAAAAATTGAGAATTACAGTCATGACCTAACTGATAACGAACCAAAGATGGGTTTCAGGGGGTTCTGAGCTTGAGATAAAACATGCCAGGAAAACTAAGTTGGGAATAAAGGCAGTGAAAATACTCAACAGCAAAAACATAAATTTATTTATAAAAAGAAAAGAAATTAATATCTATTGTTGGAAGATCACATCATCACTACATAACAACACCAATACCAAGAATATTTAAACAACTTCCTCCCATCTAGAAAATAATGAAGACTTTGTTGGAAAACCAATCATATGCCTGTGGGACAGTCCAAGCTGGAAGCAATATTGGCCAATAGACTTCAACAAACCCAAACTGGGTCATACCACATCAAATCAAGATATAAAAGAGACATATCCAACCTAACCCCAACAGAATGTAGTGATTTTTTGTGACTGTAGTCTCAATGGAGATTCCTGCCAAATTTTGCTGCCTTACAGAAACTAGAATTTTGAAAGAAAACATCCGAAACTGTCAGAAAATTCCTTAACCCTTTCTGGCCGTATGTCGACATGGTGACAGTGCTTCCGCCGATGAATGTCAATATATGACTGGCAAAGTGCTAATAAAGCCAATCATCCGAACTAGAACCCGTCATTTCATCATGCATGCCACCTTACACATGACAGTATTATATTTTGGGAGGGAGTAAATGACAGTAATGCAGTATTTAAAATACAGAAAAGACATCTATGACTTATTAAAGGAATCAAAAACAGGGTCTCTTGTAGAAGTCTCTTTGGTGATTATAAGATTTTAACTGTAACTTCAGTATACATACAGTAGAACTTGGTTATAACGTCATCAAAGGGACCTAAAAATAGTGTCGTTATAAACGAATGTCGTCGTAACCGAAATGGGCACTTCCACAGTAGCTTTATGTTAGTCACGTAAAAATCTACCAAAAACCGAGTTAAAATGTTGAATTTTTTAGTGAAATACGTAGTTAAGCACAGACTAACGTAACATTAACGTGGAATTGCCCAAATGTGTAATATCAAAGACATATTACAGCGCTTTTCACTGACAATACACACCGCACTAATACTGTATATTAAAGGTAGGCCTACTCACCAAATTACAGTAGATTACATCAATTGTTGTGCCTTACTGTACCTAGATACGAGTACAGTAATCAGTTATCTTCATCTGTTTCCTGTTACTTGCCCAATACACACTTTCTAAATTACGTTCA